AAAAAAAAAAAAAAAAAAAAAAAAGTCTCTACTACCCAAAGCAATCTACACATTTTTTTAAAATAATTTTTTGGAAGTCTATTTATTTTTGAAAGAGAGAGAGAGAGAGAGCAAGCGAGGGAGGGGTAGAGAGAGAGGGAGACACAGGATCCAAAGCAGGCTCCAAGCTCTGAGCTGTCAGCACAGAGCCTGACGCAGGGCTCGAACTCACGAACCGCGAGACCATGACCTGAGCTGAAGTCAATGCTCAACCGACTGAGCCACCCAGGTGCCCCACAATCTACACATTTAATGCAATCACTATCAAAATGACACCAGCATTCTTCACAGAGCTAGAACAAACAATCCTAAAATTTGCATGGAAACACAAAAGGCCCCAAATAGCCAAAGCAATCCTGAAAAAGAAAAGCAATGCTGAAAGCATCATAATTCCAGACTTCAAGCTATATTACAAAGCTGTAGTCATCAAGGCAGTATGGGTCAAAAACAGACACATGGATCAATGGAACAGAATAGAAAACCCAGAAATAGACCCACAACTATATGGTCGACTCATATTCAACTAAGCAGAAAAGAATATCCAATGGCATAAAGACTGTCTCTTCAAAATGGTGGTGGAAAAACTGGATTGCAAAATGCAGATGAAACTGAACCACTTTCTTACACCATACACAAAAATAAATTCAAAATGGATGAAAGACCTAATCATGAGATGGAAACCATCAAAATCCTAGAGGAGAACACAGGCAGCAACTTCTTCAAACTTGGCCATTGCAACTTCTTACTTGACACGTTGCCAGAGACAAGGGACACAAAAGCAAACATGAACTATTGGGACTTCATCAAGATAAAAAGCTGCACAGCAAAGGAAACAATCAACAAAACTAAAAGGCAACTTACAGAATGGAAGATCTTTGCAAAAGACCTATCTCATAAAGGGTTAGCATCCAAAATCTATAAAGAACTTACTAAACACCCAAAAAACAAACAATCCAGTTAAGAAATGGGCAGAAGACATGAATAGACATTTTTCCAAAGTAGACATCCATATGGCCAGTAGACACATGAAAAGATGCTCAACATCACTCATCACTAGAGAAATACAAATCAAAACCACGATGAGATACCACATCACACCTGTCAGAATGGCTAAAAGTAACAACACAAGAAACAACAGGTGTTGGTGAGGATGTAGAGAAAGGGGAACCCTCTTGCACTTGGAATCCCTCTTGGTGGGAATGCAAACTGGTGCAGCCACTCTGGAGAACAGTATGTAGGTTTCCCAAAAAGTTAAAAATAGAACTACCCTACAATCCAGCAATTGCACTACTCAGTATTTACCAAAAGGATACAAAAATCCTGACTTGAAGGAGTACATGTACCCTGATGTTTATAGCAGCATTATCAACAATAGCCAAAAAAGAGCCCAAATGTCCATTTGATGAATGGATAAAGATGTGAGATACACACACACACACACACACACACACACACACACACACACACAGCTGTCAAAAGAAATGAAATCTTGACATTTGCAATGATGTGGATGGAGCTACAGTGTATTATGATAAGTGAAATAAGTCGGTCAGAGAAAGATATCATTTGATTTCATTCATGTGGAATTTAAGAAACAAAACAGACAAACATATGGGAAGGGAATAAAAAAGAGAGGGACACAAACCATTAGAAACTCTGTAAAAAAATTTTTTTTAATGTTTATTTTTGAGAGACTGAGCACAAGTGGGGGAAGGACAGAGAGAGGGAGACACAGAATCTGAAGCAGGCTCCAAGCTCTGAACTGTCAGCACACAGCCTGATGCAGGGCTTGAACTCACAAACTGTGAGATCATGACCTGGGTTGAAGTTGGACACTTAATTGATTGAGCCACCCAAGCCACCCATAGAGACTTTTAATGATAGAGAACTGATGGCTGATGGAGGGAGTTGGGTTGGGGATGGGTAAATGTGTGATGGGTATTAAAGAGGGCACTTGTTATGATGAACCCTGGGTGTTGTATGTAAGTAATGAATCATTGAATTCTACTCCTGAAACCAATATTACACTATGTGTTAAGCAACTAGAATTTAAATTAAAAAAAATTAGTAAACATGAAAAAGGACACAGTTTTGGAAGGAGGAATAGGACCATGACCTCTAGTTAGAGGAATCTATTCTGATGAAAACACAAAACAGATGAACGAACCACAAACACCTAAGTGAACCATATTCCACATGGTGTCATCTATTTCCCAACTGGAACATGATTTCCACAGTCTCCCCACACGAGGGCTATCACTTAATGAACTCAGCCATAAAATCAAAACTCAAAGTTCCCTCATTATCCCACTACGGGCATGTTCAGTCATGTGCAATCAACAAAACACTCCAAACAAACTTAGCCAAAAATCAGACCCAGTGTAGAAGAATGAATAAGATCAGAAATGAGACTCACGGATGCAGCCAAGGAACAAGAACTGAAGATGAAAAGCGTCCAGGTCTACAGGAGGTGCATTTTCAGGCTACATGTTTATGTTGGTTGTTACAGTTGACCCAGGTAGACACTATCTCCAGAAATAAACTGTTACAAAGTAACTGAGAAAGTTACTTGCACACTATTTACTATTTTTCATGCAAGTAACCTATTGACATACAGAGTCAATGGGAAAACTGAGTCAAGGATGAAGGCAAAATAAAGATGTGGTAGATTGCTACACTGGTGGTCCCAGGGAACAAATGAACCTTCTGGTATGCATGCTCCTTCCCTGTTGAATCTGGGCTTGGTTACTTGCTTTGTCAAGGGGACATCAATCAGCAAGTGTGATGAGAACAGAGGCTTGATAAGTACTTGCACCTTGGAGCTTGACCTCTTAACTGCTTTCGGTGGAAGCCAGAGGGCATGTAAGAGGTCCAACCTCCTTGAGAGACCTATGCTGTGAGAACATCAAAACCAGCTATGTAATAGGCCACACAGAAAAGCAAGGAGGTGGCAGACATGCATATGAATCTTCTGGGGTCTTCTAGACCAGGTACCACAGACAGCAGCTAAATGCAGCTGAGTCACTCCAGCTGATGCCATATGGAATAGAAGAAACTAGCCAGTTAAGCTCTCAGAAAGCATAGTCCACAAAATCATTGTTTGAAGCCACATCATGCAGTGATTTTTATGCAGCAATAAATAAGTACAACACAGGATTTATAAGAGCAAGAGAAGAAAGAAAATTGTATTCTGGGAATCATGAATTTTGTTTGTATATGTTTGAGGGAAATTGATTAGCTGGCACCCAGCAAGAGGTCAGTCTGAAATTCTGTCTTTGAGTAAGTTCCCTACGGACATCAAATAAAACAATTTTTGTTGTTTACTCATTCTCAAGAAAATCCTGAGGGTTTATCTATGGGGCACAGTTGTGTACTGTCCACCAATGTCCTTTCGTTATCACCTTTGACCTTGTTCAGGTTTGTACCACTTCTCATATTAGAATTTTATAGAAGAAAACCAAGAGATTGGGAAAGATCAGCTTGGAGTGAGCCTGGAGGATCTGAAGCCATTCTGACCCCCTAAACTTTTTTTCCTTGTCTAAAAACGACATCAGTGGCATCAGCAGTCTGTTTAGCCCTTTAGTCAACAGTGAGGGCTACCTAAATAAAAGATATTCTATGAAGGCTCAAGCTCTTGCCAACAACCCTGGATCCTGAGTTCCAAATGTGGCATTGCACTAAGGAAGCAGGGATGAAGGAGCACTGGGGTCAGTATCCTGGAAATGGAAGCTGCTCAGTGGGCAAGTGGTTTATAGAAATCAGGATCTCCCCAAATTGTAGGAATATGAACATGGTAAAGACAGAGAGGTTAGCCAGTGACAGAGAAATACCAACCGAAACAGAGGAAAATAGAATGAAGAGCTGAAATACTCACAGAATCACACAAAGTGAGACACCAATATACTTTATTTATTTCGAAGATAAGATGAATCCATCACTGGTGGCTGGAGCTCTCATGCTGCACTTTCTCCTCACAGAGGTGGGCTAGAATGGGGTGGGCTGTGTTTGGCAGGGGTTGTGGAGATTTGGGATCTGTGTAGATGAGAATTTGGGTTTTATAAGACTGTGGCACCTCTCCCAGCAACGTAGAATCCACCTGTGTAACCTCATCAGATCTATGCCCCCCATCACTCCAATCTTCCTGGAGTATCCTCAGTTTTCCTCTACAAACCTCTCACCTGCATGGCTCCCCAGCTGGGCCTCAGGCCGGTCTCCCCAGAGCAGATGATCAGGATCATTGAGGAAACGTTGGCTGCGCTGGCATGTTAGGCAAGTCTGTACTGTCCAGCGCTGTCCCCTGCATCCTGGGGTTTAAGCAGGGGTGGGGTGGGGAAAGAGTGCCCAGATTTAGGAGAAGAAAAGCTCTCCTTCATCCAATTTTGCCTCCACTGTTTTTCGGTACGAATTCCAACCCTCCCCAACTTTGAATACAAATTTGAGATGTCTTACCCCTGCTTAAAGTCCATCAAATTTTTTTTTAAAATTTTTTTCAACGTTTTTATTTATTTTTGGGACAGAGAGAGACAGAGCATGAACGGGGGAGGGGCAGAGAGAGAGGGAGACACAGAATCCGAAACAGGCTCCAAGCCATCAGCCCAGAGCCTGACGCGGGGCTCGAACTCACGGACCGCGAGATCGTGACCTGGCTGAAGCCAGACGCTTAACCGACTGCGCCACCCAGGCGCCCCTCCATCAATTTTTTTGTATCCTTTTAAGATAAGGTCCAAAGTCCTTAGAAGTCTCTTTAAGATCTGCCCTGTTTCCTTCTCCAGCCTCATGCTTTAACCTTGTCCACCTCAAACTCCAGGCTCCTAAACTCTGGTCTCCTTGACAGCACCACAAGCTCTCTTGTCTCAGAGTCCTCACACATGCCTAGAATTTCCATCTCTTCACTCCTTTTGCTTATCATGAACCTCATCACTACTGGTATAAGTAATGTTACCTCCCCAATTAAAGCATTTTTCTACACTATTTTAATTGTTTCTTAGTCTATTCTATCAGACTATAATTTCAATGAGAATAATGTATCTCATACAATACTTGATACACCTTAGAAAGAAAAATCAATATTTGTTTAATGAATGAATGAAAACAGTGATGTGAATCCTGTCCTCCACAATGCAAAATAACACCTATTATTATGTATGGGTGGGTTACCTCTTATAGCAACATCATTTCCCTATTGTCCAGATCTTCGTTTGTCCCAGAGGAGTTACCAATTTAACCCAAAGCTGGAAAATGTCGGCTGCTGCAAATCCCACGCTAGACGCCCATCTAAAGCAAGGAAGGGGATCCCCTCCCCAACCCACTACTGCACCTCAATCACCCCACGTTAGTAGGAGCACTCACGTCTCTGACGCTGGGTGCAGGTGAGGCCAGGGATAAGAAGGGAAGAGCAGCCACGACAGAGGGTCCTCTTCACTGAGGGGTCCCTGTGGGCGGAGGGGGATGGTGATCCGAGCGCCTGCGCTCATTCTCCCCATTCTTCCCACGTCCCGCCCGCCACCAGGCTCCCGGAGCGTCTCACCGCCGCAAGACCAGCCGCTTTGCGATGGTCCTCTCCGTGTGGCAGTAAAACCTCGCCAGCGCCTGGTTCTTGGGGTCCTGCGCAAGGACACAGTGGGCGGCCTAGGGAAGGGAAACTGTCACTCGGTGGCCGGCCAAACCCAGTCGCCTCCCCAAACGCCCCGACGGACTTGCCTGGTACAGGAAGTTTAGCCTCTGGAAGGCCTCTCGGTCCTTTACTGGGCCAGCCATCGACGCTGCACTAGCGCCTCACGAGCGAGCGTCCGCAGGTCCTGCCCCTCCGATAGCTCCGTCTCGGGCGCCTGCACAAGGCCTCCTGGGAAGTGTAGTTCCTGGGCCTCTCTCAGGGAGATCCTTACTCTGGCGCCACCCTGTGGTCTCACAGACCCAGCTGTTTGTAAACCCATACTCATCCATGCAATCCAAGCCCAGGGCGCCTTTCTGAGTTTTGGCCTTCTTCTAGTCTTCCTCAAGCCCATGATCAACTGTACTAGGTAGGAAAGGCTAGTGGAACAGGAGATTATCTTAAACTAGGAAATATTTTCAGGACAGAATACTGGTCTCTTTATGTAGATAGGCTGGGGAGATGGTTATATGCAATTTATACCTGCTAGAACTTCTTCCCTACTCTCCACAAGCCAAAGGTAGATAGATGCCTGGAAGATCTACAGACTGAAGAAACAGAACTTATACATTCAAAAAAAGCACTGGTACTGGTGGGAGTGAAATTGGAAAGGATCATGAGGGTGGTGGAGGGAGGGAAGTACAGCTTATTCCCATTCCTTTCCACTTACCCAAAAAACACTTTGTGTTATGCAGTGCTAGACACATAGTAGGTGATCCTAGCTAACTCCTAGTCTTAGGTACTGGAGCACAGAAATTTTGACAGCATCTCCTGTCTCTGAAACTCTCCTCTCCCCCAGACCCCTACCCAAGGCATATATTTAACATCCCTTACTCTGACCTCAGTCTCCTGTTTGTTCTGTTTGACATCCTGTGTTTACCTTTGTCTCATAGATAATGACCAGCATTTCCTGAAGTCAAGAGTAGAGGAATGTGGGGTGGAAGGGCATAACATGAATGAACCCTGAGACAGGGAGAGGGCAGAATTAAGTAAGGAGAGAATGAGGCCTCTCTCCCTTCTTCAAACCCCATCAGGCCAGGCAGGGAACCAGCCCTTCAGCTCAGAAGAAATGGCCCAAACTTCCTCTGGGACTAATTTCCCAAAGTTCCCTGAATTCAAATGAGGAGTGTGTTTAAAATGTAGAGGCCCAGCCCTACCCCAGACTTTGATCAATCACTGAGGACAGCCCCAAGAACATGCACTTTTAACATCAGTAATTCTTACATAACACAAGACCATTGTCAAATTACCACACAACACAGAGATCACTTCAGTGGATCCTTTGTTCCATGTTATGTTTTACCAACCAAAGCATCTTGCCACAAAGAACCACAGTCAAGGCACAAAGGTAAGAGGAGAGTCTGGACAAAGTCCTGTTGAGGTGGTAGGAGGAAGTGAAACACTCTCAATAAACTGCAGTTTCTTGTCCCAATCTTCTGTGAATCCCTGATCACCCAAGTAGCAGATATTCCAAATCATTTTAGTTTGGTTTGGCATGCATCGCTTTAACCTTTTTTGACAACATATGTACCCTACAAGTTGTTTATTTTGGCCTAATGTTAAAATGATTTACATTCTCTGATAGGGGAAATGGCAAAAGGTGAAGGATGGCAACAAATATGCAAGAGACTGGCTCTTGTGAACACTAGTTCCAGGCCATATGAACATAGGCTAAAGGAGGTTGCCTATGTGACACTTTGCTCTACATACCCTGTCTTCTACCCTGTCCTCAGGGTGAGGAAGACTCCATTTTCCTTCTCCCTTTTTGGCTTGGACACCTTAACCAAGTAACAAGGCTGACAACTTGGGAGCAGATACTTAGTAACATTCTTTAAGGCCAGGGCTTTGGATAGAAATACCTTTCTCTTTCCTCTAATACTTGACTGTCCTTTCCAGGTCCCCTTGGGAAAGCAGTGAAAGGGTAGACATGTCTTGAGGGGTCTCTGGCACCTCACCTCTGCAGGAGAAAGGTGACTGACCGATTCTTGGAGACAACCAACTCTAAGGAGACAGGCAATAAGCCAGCTTTGCTGAAGGCTGAGGCAGGGACTTGGGTTCTCCTCTCATTTCTTCTCACCCTCTCCTCCCCACATTCCTACCTCTGGCCAATCCTACTCATAATGGCAACTTACTCTGGGAGTAGAAGACCAAAGAAACTCTGTTAGGAATCTGTTCCTTTAGCCCCTTTCCCAACTTCCTTTCTAATCTTCTTGATGCCCAATCTCTGCTCTCAAAAACAAAAAACAAACAAACAAAAAAACTCCTTAACTTCTAGACCCACAAGAGCAACTATCATTCATCTTTATTTTAGTCTAGAGGTACACAGACCCCTCTGATCTTTCTCAACAAATAAGAACCCCTTAAAAGAACGTACAGGGGTTTCTGTTTCCTCTTCTGGTTTTGAGCAAGTCAGACCCTCTCACAGACTTTTTGTTTCTGGAAAAGCCTCTCCTTCCTTCCTAACCTATCCATGTGCAATAGAAAACCTGATGGACTTCAGGGGAGATAACCCCTGGGAACTAATTCCCCACCCTGACGGTTAGGAGAGAGACAGCTGTGTGCTCATCCCAGACCAGTCCTACATACTCCTCCATATAAACCATTCTAGAAACCAAGGTGCTTCTCCTAAACAGTGCAGGACTGGAACCAGGCAGACACGAAGACGTTCCAGCAGGTCACAGGAAGGAAGGCCCATAGCTCTTGACCCTGACTCACCCCAATTATTCCCACATCCCTACCTGTCACTCCCAATCTGTTGGGGGCCTGATTGTAAGTGGTGCAGCATTCTTCCGACCAGCACGGATGCCTGGATAGAAGAGGGGCCAAAGTTTCTCAGTAAAAGTATCAGTAAAGGTGTAGATATGAGAGCGGTCTGTGACATTGTAAAAAGACAGTGTGCCGGCCTCATAGTCTAGGAATATGCCTACCCGTTTGGGTTTCACCTTGATGTGCAAAGGGGTAAAAGGCGTGGTGGTGGCTGCATATTTGTCCCCGTTCCACAGCCGCACCCGCCAGTAGCCAGTCTCAGGGAGTGGAGTCAGCTCGCCCTTTCGGCTTACGGAGTCCCGGCACACGCCCACTGCCCAGTGGGTCTTATCACCCACCTCCACCTCCCAGTAGTGTCGGCCTGAGGTGAAGCCCTCAGTAGCCAGGACACAAGGATAGAAGGTGAATCGCCGTGGTGTGTCAGGGAGATCCCGGAGTCTTGTCTCCACAAACTTGACGCTCTTACGATCTTCGGACAGGACTAGGTTAGGGTGAGCAGTCTCTGGGTCCAGGGTCACATCCGCTGGCGGGAGAAGCCAGAGTGGGGAGCTAGATGAGGATGGGAATAGCTAAATGCCCCTGCCTCACTCTCCCAGCCTGCCTTTACAAACTTGTTTCCTTAAAGGTCCCCAGAACACCATGGTTTAACTTTCTCAATCCATGCTGTCACCTAAGGGAGAGGAGGGAACAACAGCTTCCCTTCTTACCCTGGCCCTAAAGTAAACAGATAATAATCTCAATTCTGCAAGGGCTGATGGTTTAGGCTCCTGCCTTATCCCTTTTTCATCCCCCTGTGACATCATCTCACTGAGTGATGAAGCACAAGTCACAGTCCAAGGGCCAGAAAGGACAGAAAATGTTAAGAAAGATACACAGCAAGACAGCAGTATGGTCCAGAGATAGGGTGACCATGTATCTGGTTTCCTGGAACAGTCCTGGTTTGTGACTATTTTCTCTGAGTAAATATTAATGGCACTCCCTCTCGTTCTCAAAAAAGGACAAGTTTAGGCATATTATTTAACTTCTATGGGTCCCTATTTAGAAAAGTGTGGGCCTAAGAGTAGATGACACCTAAGCTCTGTCACTCACAGTGAGATTGAAAGCCAGGTAAAGGGGTGGGTGTGGCCATGGGCACAAAATGACAGATGGTACAACTGAAGCCCAGATAAAGTGGGACTTAAAGACTTTCTTCTCTGCTGATTTCCTCTGCTAGTTTATTTTTGGGAACAACTCACCAATTAGCTGTTTAAGGATTTTCCTTAGGGCAAAGTACTGTCGGGGGAAATTGCTGAAGTTCTTTTCCAGCTCTATGGACACTGAAGTCACCTCCATGGTCTTCACCTTCTCACATCTAGGAGGGATAGGGAGATAGGGGAAGAAAGGGCAGGGTCAGGGGAAGCTCCAGCTGAGTGAGTATGCAGATATTGTCATATTTAGGGAGAAACTAAAATTCTCCATCCTCCCATTTTCTCCCTCCTCCCTGAAGACAAGTACTTACTGCTTTCTTTTGCCAATCTATGGAGAGCCATAGGGTCCCCTGGACAGAGTCTTATTTTAAGAATGAGTCTCAGAACTTTCTGGGGGTATTGCTATATTTCATGCAAATGGGTAATCACCCTCCCCACTCTCCCAACCCCTTCCTTTGTCTGTCTTGTTTGGACACATTTCCACCCATGGACAAAGGTAGCATCTGGTTCTACATTACCTTGGTTTCTTCCTTACCAAGTTAGTCCTGATGCTCAATGGGGAAATGGTAATGTACTCTTACTCCCAATGATTTGCTCTCTAACAGCCTTCATGGACGCAATGAACCTTCTCCCACATCCTATCCAGACACTGTGTGACTTTCCCATCATTCTCCCCTACTCCTTACTGTACCCTTGGTTTCTAAGCCAAGACCTAACTCACTCAAAGAGATGCAAGAATCACTTACTTTTCCAGGGTACTTTTGACATCCTAGAGGGAAGGAGAAAAGAAAGCAATATTGGTCCTGGTAGTCAAGGGTCCTAAAGGCAAAAGGTTCCCCCTCCTCCCCAAAATTCTAGATCTATAAAATAGGAATAGGGCAATCTGAGGGTCAAAATGCAAAGGGAAGCGCTCCAGAGGGATCAGAGTACATCTTTCCCAATCTGATCTCTGTTTTCAACTTTTGGATAGCATCAAGCTTGGTAATTTATATCACTTCCAAATGGTTTCTTGTGTGTTTGTCTTGCTCCTCAAGGACACTGGGAGCTCAATGCAAGGGACAGGGATTGTGTCTGCTCTATACTCTGTCCCCCAAGTACCAACCACACACCTGTCTCCTTGAGGATCAGTACAGACTGGTGGCATTGGAATGAATCACTTTCCTGTTGTTGTTGTTGCTATCCCCATCTGGTACTGGTTAATAAACATTGATAATTGTGTGCCAATCCTGATTTTTGAATACTTGGGGTCCAGAAGACAAAGAAGACAAATCTTTGCCCCCCAAGGATTTCCCAGTTTAATGTGGAAGGCAGAACACACATACATGAAAGGACACAAGAATAAGTACCAAGCAATACATAACATGCAGATAAATGTACAATGAAGCCTCACTGATTCAAATGCTGGTAATCTGATCTCTAAAAAGAGATATGTTTCCTACAACCTTGCTAACACCATTCATCTGCTTAAAAGAACAAATTATTTCAAACATTTTAGAGTCATTATTTACATAGCAAAAGTTAATATATTATTTATACATAATTTCAAGTGTCCTTCAAACTAGGTTTCTATTTTTTTGTTTGTTTGTTTGTTTTTAGCACTAGGTAAATCAAGTTCCAGGACCTAAAAGTAATGGCAACTGCATTCACATAATTTTTAATGTATAGTTTTTTCACTGATTCAGACTAGATTTCCCTCCTTTCAAAGGAGTGAATTTTTTCTTTGGTACAAATTAAGCACATATTGTTCACAAGACATAAGAACACAGAAATGATTAGAAGGGGATGGGAGAAATCAGAAGAAGACTTTCTGTAGAAAAAGATCCTTTGAGTATGTCTGGAAGAAAGAACTGGATTAGAGAAGCAGAGCAGGAGGATGAGCATCCCAGGTTGACAGAATGGCCTGTGCAAAGCTATACTGCACTTGACCTGAGAGGCTATACAGGGGCAAAGGTCGAACCTTAAGCATCTCGAAGCCCGACTGTAAGCACTTGCCCTCCACCTCAGCAGCCAAGTGGGCCAGGTCCCGGCGCCTGTCTCCAAGGTGAGCAGCATTTTCTCGGAGGCGCTGTAGAATGTCCTGTTCCTCCTCCTCCAGGCGTGAAAGCAACATCTGCTGTTCTTCATCCAGCCGCCTATGAAGCTCTTCAAATTCCTTTAAGATCTGTTGTCGGCGACACTCCACTAGTCTCTAAGAAAATAGGGAAAGCATTATACTTAACAGGGCCAGTGGGGCATAAGGGAGCCTTTCCCTACCCACCATGTGTATGAATTAACAGATTTCCAGTGTCATTGCAAATACTCTAACAGGACACTCATGTTTCTCTCCATTGAAATCTCCTCTAAGTAATGGCTCCATCCCCATTATCACCCCTACTGGTGACTTGGGAGTGAAGACTACTGGGGAGATTAAAAAAAAAATCAGTGTTTAAAAAAATTTTAATTTTAGGGGTGCCTGAGTGGCTCAGTCAGTTAAGTGTCCAACTCTTGACTTCAGCTCAGGTCATGATCTCATGGTTCATGAGTTCAAGCCCCACATAGGGCTCTGTGGCGGCAACACAGAGCCTGCTTGGGATTCTGTCCCCTGCTCTCTGTCCCTCCCCTGCTTGCTCTCTGTCTTTCTCTCAAATAAAAATAAACTTAAAAAAAATTATTTGAAAAAATATTTAATTTTCTTTATTAAATTAACTTCTAAAAAAGCTATACTTCTGGTTTGGTGAAAAAAATGCAAAATATAAGAACTCAATAATATAGAGACATCTATTTTTTTTTTTAATTTTTTTTTTCAACGTTTATTTATTTTTGGGACAGAGAGAGACAGAGCGTGAACAGGGGAGGGGCAGAGAGAGAGAGGGAGACACAGAATCGGAAACAGGCTCCAGGCTCTGAGCCATCAGCCCAGAGCCCGACGCGAGGCTTGAACCCACGGACCGCGAGATCGTGACCTGGCTGAAGTCGGACGCTCAACCGACTGCGCCACCCAGGCGCCCCTAGAGACATCTATTATTATGGATACAAGATATTTTTGCTAGTTTCAATGCTAAAGTTATAGCTAATGAAATTTATCAAGAAAAGGAAAATAATAAATACTGGGAAGTTGGAGACCAGATGATCATCATTTGTATATTGCTAGACATCTACCCACTAAAAACCAGAGACCAACTGGAAAAGTATCAGAATCAGTAAGATTTTAGTTATGAGTTGTTACCAAATATATACAGTTGACTGTTGAACAACATGAGTTTGAACTGTGAGAGTCCACTTATACACAGAATTTTTTGGTTCAATATGGTATAGTACCATAAAGGTATTTTCTTTTCCTTACGATTTTCTCAGTAAGTTTCCTTTCTCTAGCTCACTTTATTGTGAGAATATAGTATACAATACAAACATATAAAATAGGTATTAATCACTTTTTATGTCATCATCACTAATGCTTCTGGTCAATAGTAGGCTATTAAGAATTAAGTTTTTGGGGAGTTGAAAGTTATATGCTGATTTTTGACTGGACTGGGGTTGGTACCCCTAACTTTGTTGTTCAAGGGTCAACTGTATATAGATTTCAGGGAATAACATGTTAATAGTTTCAAGTCACTTCAGACAACTGACAGTTCCCATCCCAGGAATAGGTTCCAGAAATTTGTTAGTGAATTATATATTGAAATTTGACGTTTTTCTCTCAGCTACCACACAGACTTAAACCTTTAACATTCCTGAAATTTGATAATATGGGACTAAAACACCAGCCATAATACTTTCTGAGGGTTATTAGCAAGCACATCCTTCCTTCTCTACCTCCACTGCAACAAGTGATCTGCTCAGACGTATTCTCCAAGTGTCATATGACTGATGGGGAGAAATAAACCCAACAGGGAAGCAAGAGAGAAGCAGAGATTGGGACTCTGGAAGTAAAATGCAGATAGAAACTGAAAGGTACGGCTGAGGGTGAATACAGAGGGGCTGCAAAGCCTTACAAGCCTGGTGTTTCTGGATTTCAAGCTAATTCTCAGCAGAGGCTGGCTAGCTCCAGTTCTAGAGTTGTTGCTTCCTATTCTACTGCTGCCTTCTCAGGTACACACTGGAACAAAATATATTCTTAACACATTTACTCTGTGGAAATTAATAAAGGAAACCTGGCTAAAATGGTCAGGTTGCCAGCAGGGGGAGCACTCACGCCCCACCACTGGTCAATTGTTATCCCAACAGGTAGAGATGTACCTTATAGGTCCATACTACCTTACTACACCAGCAGGAGGAAGAAAGGTTTTCTTTTTGCAGTCAACAAGCCCAGCCAATGATAGACTGTCACAACCTAGCCAATAAAAAGTCACTATACTCTGAACTCCGAGTTTACTCCAAGGATTTTCTTCCCAATCCCCGCCTTTCCTATATAAAAGAGTGGTCCTCTGCTTTGTTCTCTGGACTTGCCTATGGTTTTGCCTTAACTTGCTTGTCCTGAATTGCAGTTCTCTGCTATTCCTGAATAAACTCAATTATTCTGATAAAATAACTGAATTTTCTAAGGTTACCAACCCTTGAAATACAACCTTTTTTCCTGTGTGTGTGTGTGTGTGTCTGTGTGTCTACATGTGTGTCTATGTTGAGAGGTGATGTATGGGTAGAATTTAGGATTAATAACTATGTTTAATAGGAACCCAAAGGGGTCTCTCTTATATAATCCCATCATTCTTCTCTTTTTTTTTCCCACTCTATAGTTGTATGGCAGTGGTTCTTAATGAAGGTGTTACTTCCCACTAGGGATATTTTAGAAACAAGGGGCATCTTTTTGTTTGCCATAATAGGGGGTACTCTGGTGGGCTGCTAGCACTCCAATGTGTGAGATGACCCTGCAACATGCACAGTCCTGCATCATTTTCTATGTTCCGCTGGATATTCAAAAACATAGGCCTAGACTTAAATGCCATTTTATACATAAACAGAGTAATTCTTACCCAATTTTAATATACCTGATTTTTTCAGAAACAGCTGAATAAAACTAAGACTGTATTTTGTTTTTCTTAGAACTTTATCAAAAGTTACTTATCATTTTGAAAAATTATGTCACTAAGAGCTAAGCTGCTTGTGGTGCTTGTCAACATTACTACGCAATTACCTGAGTCTGAATTTGTATTTGTTGCATTGTTGATGGTGTCACAGAGAGATGCAAGGATAAAACTATATTGTGGTGTCTTTCAGGATAGTAATGCCCAAATATTTACATACCAGATTTTATTATAAATCACTTTCCTCTATGTTGTGTGTGTGTGTGTGTGTGTGTGTGTGTGTGTGTGTGTGTGTTTGGGCATAATAATCTCTTTATAAAATTATGCAGATAAGTTATTTTATCTATAATTTCCACTTCAGCATGGTTAATTACAAATTATTTATTTTTAAAAGGGGCATTGGGTCTGATTCTGGAAATAGGGATGAGGGAGAGGTTTCGGAGAATTCAAATGGTTACAAAAGGAATGTTGGTGGCAGTTTCAGAGACCACTGAATTTTTAAAAATACCACAGTTCTGTTCAAGCATTTAAAAGGTTTTTAAAAATTTTTATTCCCCTCTTTATTCTTTACCTTTAAGAAGGTGATCAACAGGAACAGGAAAGTTAATGACTGGGAATAAGCTTCGTTTTCACATATTTTAAGTTTCTCAGGAGCCCTCCAAAAGAACAAAGAACTTTTTTTTAAAGTTCACCTTTGCAATCAAAATTAATTAATATTTTAAAAGTTCAAAATCTTGTTTTATTCAAATATATAAAGGACTAAGGTAATACTTAGTAATACTTAATAATACTTGCTTTCTGTCAAAATGTTGTCATTGTTAAAAAATTAGTGTTCCTACTATTTTCAAAGTTGTGTTTAATCTCTGGTGATCCCTAAATCTCAACTCCAAAAGCGAATTATTTCTTCTGGAAGCTTTTAATGAGGTCAAATTTCTATGTTGTCTTCTTATGAATTTGCAACTGTGCTTTTTGTGCCATGTCATTATCTGTTTTCTCTACTTGACTGTAAGCTTAAGCAGGACAGGGACTGTGTGTTTGCTCATCATTTTTCCCCAGTGTCAAACACAGAATTTGGTCTATACTGGAAACTTAATACATATTTATAGATTCATGCAGAGCTAATATCCCTGATTTTGTCCCATACTGGCTATGTGATCTTGGACTAGAACTTATCCAAGTTGTTTCCTCCTGTGATAACTAGGGGTAATAATACTCACTTTACAAGAGATCTAAGTTCACCCTTGCTAAAGATGACCTTCAGGACTTCCTTCCCTTTGTCTGACAGCTCATCTAGGTCCCACTAAAACTTAACACAACCCTGTACATTTGGAATGTCATGGACACCCAATGAATTAACACACAGGACTCAATAAACAGTTATTACTGCCACTATTAGGAATTGTTCACTGTCCAATAAAATAAGACAGTTACCAAAATATCATGCTACAACTATGGTAATACATGAAAGAGAAGTAAAATTATATGAAAATTAAGAAAATCAATTTCTGAAGGGTCAAGAAAGGCTACATAGGAAGTGGCTTTTATCCTGCCTGAAGGACAGATAGGATCCTACAGATGTAGGGTAGACAGGGGAACAGTCTAGGAATGAACCAACATCATCTAGCATACCTGAGCTTACTTAAGAGAATGTAGTCCTAAAAGTCACTGGGCATTTTTGTGAGCTCTTGGTCAGTTGCTTCTTTCTTCCACCCCAGTGAGCCTTCCAAATTCTCCTCTCCTCAATCCCTCTAAGAAACTCCTATCCCTGCTCTCTCCCTGCCTCTCATTCCTGTTTTACAAGAAAAAAGACCAGTGCGCATGAACTCCCTCAACTTGTCAGATGTAAAGTATTCTGTCCATCCTTCCTTCACCTCTTACATCCTTCTCTACAATACTTAATTCATGACAAATACTTTAATGCAATGTTTAATGACAAAGAAGCCTAACAAAATACCATTGTTTTTAAGAGAAAAGCAGTTTTCCAATGAATCAGAACTGGTGGATTAAATAATGTATGGTTAATTGCCTGCAAAGCAGCCCAAATGGAATCACCTGCCTTTACCTTGAGCTCTCCAGGCTTCTTCTCCTCAGAGGACTTGCAGCGGGTGATCTCCTGCAATTTCTGCTCCAGGGGCTCCAGGCACTTCTGCAGTTTTTCCTGAGGGTGGGAAGTGGGAGAGGTGGGATTTTGGGGTGGCTGGCATATCCTACATTCAGAGGTTAACCCATTAGTTTGAAACCATTTGTTTGCTTCCTGTCTATCTCACCACCTCTTGATCCCACTTCTTTCTTTGTCTGTCATTTGGGGTGTCAACTTTTGGTCCCTCCTCCTGCAACCAGTCTGTCCCCATCATCTTCCTTGCTCACCAAGAACTTTCCTCTCACTGAATCTCACAGTTGTCCAGCTGTCACCAACTCCGTGTCCTTCCCCAATCCTGTCATTTTGTTACTCAAGTGACTGCCTATTATGGTCAAAGTGACTTTCTGTATTTTGATAGTCTTCTTTAAACTTGTCCTCTCATCCAACTCTAACCACCTGCAAATAAATCTGTATTACTTACACTGTAGACTACTTTAAATCTTGCTTCCAAGATTTTATTAACATAATTAAGCAAAATACTTGATACAGTGCTAACATATTAAAATCTTTAGTTCCTACTACTTGAACATTTACCCTGTGTCCCAGCAGTACTTAAATCAGATGCCACATTATCCATTATCTGGGAAGATGCAAACATCTTAGTCTGGTGGGGATCAGTGTAAACTGATGTTATCTATTCCCAATACCAATGGGAAAATAAGGAACATTTTGAGCAGGGGGATAGAATGAAACCAGACTAGGGGCACCTGGGTGGCTCAGTTGGTTGAGTGTCCAACTTCGGCTCAGGTCATGCTCTCACAGTCTGTGGGTTTGAGCCCCGCATCAGGCTCTGTGCTGACAGCTCAGAGCCTGGAGCCTGCTTCCGATCCTGTGTCTCCCTCTCTCTCTGCCTCTCCCCAACTCTCACTTTGTCTCACTCTGTCTCTCGAAAATAAATAAATGTAAAAAAAAAAAAAAAATGAAACCAGACTACTTTTCAGTTTTTCCTAAGTTTGATAATCTCCAAGTGGTTTCATTCATTTATATAATACAACACCACACATATCCCCATGCTTGGGGATAACTGATTAGATGTACTCTGTGCCCTCTGTGTTTGTAGCTCTGAGGGGACTAGAGAGTAAAGACCAGTTATGGTCTTGCTGTTAGGAGCTTAGGATCCTTTACCTAGGGAGTCTCCCATCTTCTGTGCTCCTCCCTCATGCCCCATGTTGGCATCATGTGTGTGGTTCCCCACCTTGTACTCCTGTGTGGCATCATCCAGTGGCACGACGGTGTGGGCCCGGTGGGTGTGGGAAATTGCACATATCAAGCATACAGCCTCCTGGTCCTCATAGCAGAAAAGGCTGAGGGCCTCATGGTGCTGGGGGCAGAGGCTCTCATCTCGGATCTTCCGCTTGACAGCCTGGAGCTGCTTGGCAATTTCCACCATGCTGCCTAGCTGTCGATTAGGCCGGAGACTGCGGTAGCGAGATGTTTTTCGACAGACAGGACAAGGGAAGTCCCTCTCTAGGTCCTCCCACCAGCGGGTGATGCAAGCTTTGCAGAAGTTGTGCCCACACTCAATGATGACAGGCTCCTTCAGATACTCCAGGCAGACAGAGCAACTCGCCTCCACCTGTAAGTTCTCCAGAGCTGCAGCTGTGGAGGCTGCAGAGGCTCCAGCCTCTAACAGACTTGTTTCTGCCATTATTTAACTTAGGGATGAAAAGGGGGCAGAGAAAGAAAAATATTAGTTGGAGGTTTAATTTTTTTGTGTCCCTGGACTGGCATTTACTCCCATGATAAATCCTAACTCCAGTTAGCCCCATCTTGGTATTTTACATTTTCTCTTCCACTAGATACAACTTCTCTTTTGTTTCTCTATTTCCAAACCTTGTGACTCCCAACCATCAGTCTAATTTTTTTTCCTGTTCAGCAAACTGACACCCAACCACCAATCTCTTTTGTCTTTTACCTCTGCTTTCTCTTATTAGAGGCTTCTTTCAACTCTAGCCCAGCACACTTCTTCTGATCTAGGCTCAGTACACATGTATCTTAAAAGCAGACCATTGTATCCCTACTAGATATAGTTTTCTAATAGTGAGAAAGGATCTTGGGAAAGTGAAACATGCCATAAAAGTCCAAGTATTAAGATTTCTTAAGTATATTTTAAAGTTTAATGTTACAGAAGAGTTTTATTACAATAGCCCCCTGGAGCATAGGCTTCTCTGCCATTGTCCTCTGTTTCAAGGGTAATAAAAGGAATATTAGGCAAGGGTAACAACCTCTTCTTTTCAGGAAAACTTGAAATTATTCTTCCCTTTATTAGAGTAGTCTAGGGGAAGTGTGTCTTCTTCTTGGAATGACATTATTCACCCAACATCTCATTTATTTGAGTGCACTTAGACATTTAGGACTGCTGAAAAGTGATTAATACGTGGCAACTACACTAAAGAGTATATACTTCTTGAAAGTATATACTTCTTGAAAAGAAGGCTGACAAGTCTATCCTAAATATTCAGCAGTGACTGGAGTTTTGAAATAGCTACTGATAACTAATACCTTGGATGTACTGTGCCTCCAACTAGTAGGTTCTGGAGTGGCTGGGAATTAGAGAAAGAGGCAATTAAAGTCTCCCTCAAGTTAAGGCTCAAAATGTTGGAAATGCATCAAAGAGATTTATAAAGCTGGTCCCCCACTCCTTCCTTGAAAATCACCACTTTTATCGATGAAACCATGGATTTCTCTATCCACCCTCCCTTCCAACAGAAGAAAGGAAATTTAGTAGGTCTAAGTGCTAAGAAAGAAGTGGCCATGTGGTGAATAGGGTTAACAATGATTACTGTATATATTGTTGTTGGCACACATGAAAAGTGTTTAATTTGGAGTTGGAGCTGATACCTTATTTGGACCTGAATTCTTTCCTCAACTAGGAGAGAAGTTGAGTTAGATGATTTTTCTTTACCGAAGAGAATCCAACTAGTGAACCTGTCCCTTTTTTCTAGAAATTAGGTGGTCTCCTCACCTGGGGTAAGTTGAACTGTATGCAGAGTTAGGGACCAGGATGGATCTAGACTGGCAAAGAAGTGGTGTGAAAAAGAAATGGGGAAAAGGTTAGGGATGCATAGAGAGGACTTGGAGTTACAGCCATAGTGAGGCCTCGGGTGCCTCCAGGTTGGTAATTTCTTTCCCTCTATTCCTTGTGTCTCAGTAGAAGGGCAAACTTGAGGGACGTCCTCATTTTGTTTCTACCACTGTCCGGGGTCCCACCTTGCGACCCTCTCCTGAGCGTCGTCCACAACTCATGCCCACCCTCGTCTCCATCTTCTCTCGCCAGATCTGGCGTAGGGGGATTGGAGAAGGGGAGAGGAAACGTCGTGGTTGACAGGGAGGGAGGAATGCGTGTCCAGGTGAGGAGAAGGTGTGACGTGAAGGTGGGATGCCCGCCGCTATGACGCAGCCGAGGCCCGCGGTGACGGCGTCAGAGTTTCACCCGGGGAGGCGAGCGGCAGCGGGACGGGGGAACGGCGGGGTAGCCAAGCAACGCCGGACGCGCTGACGTCGCCGGGGCGGCAAAACGTCCGCCCGGGCCCGAGGCGGGCGGAGGCAGCTGTGGTTACGTGCGGGGGGCCGGTGACGCAGTCGCGGGGCGCTGGGACGCGGCGTGCCGAGCCGGCCGGCGGGGGCAGGCCCCAGGGCCCGGGCGCGGCAGCGGGACAGCACCTACCTTCCCGGCTTCAGGTCCGGGAGTGCGGGGCGCGGAGCCGCCGGAGCGCTGCCTCCCTCCTTCCTCCTCCCCCCGCCCCCGCCCCGCAGCGCGACACACAATACTCGCCGGAAGCGGAAGCCGCGCCGAGAGGCTCGTGTCAGTGGAAGCCTTGGTGTCGGCTGGCGGCCGCCGCAAGGCCTAGCAGTGCCTGCGGAGAAGGAGAAGGAGGGGGTCAGAGGTGAGAAACAGCTGGAGGAATCAAGAGCGAGAAGGGACCCGGAGGGGCAGGTGGCCGAAATGCGGTCGTTCAGGTGACCCGAGGAATCCTCAGGAGAAAGAGGGCCGCGCATGCGCCTGGTTGAGCGCTGAAGCCCCATTGCCCGCAGGGCGCCGATGGGTGCCAGAGACCGCTGCAGTCCCACTCCGGCTGCGGGCCCCGGCTCTGGCCACGCTTGCTGGTTCCGGGTGGGACTGGGAGCCGCTGGGGGCAGGGCAAGGGAGGTTGCGGACTTTGAGCTACACTTATCCTCTCTTCAGGCCAGTCCAGGGAGAAGGTGGCTAGCTGAGGCGGCGGCCAGTTACGTGGCGGACCTGCAAGTTTCAGCTGTCACGTCACTTCCGACTGGTTGAGTTTTAGCCTTTTAACATTACAGGATTAGGTAAATTGTCCCTGCCGTGGGCTTCAAATGCTCCTCGCATTCCTAGGCGGGCTTTAAAGACATTGTTTACCTCCCCCAGTGGAGTGGGAGCCCCGGGAGAGCTGCCATTCTGCTGCTCACCTTTCTATCCTAAGCTCTTCCCTCGCTGCCCGGCCTCTAGCAAGCGTGCGGTAAACACCTGTTAAGTGGGTGCGAGCCAAGTCCCATTTCTTTTCACTTTTCGGGCTATGACTTGAGATCTTCCCAAAGAGCAGATGATGCTTGTGTGGGAACTCCAGACTTTTGCATTATAGCCTTCCTGCTTTCCTCTTCTGTTACTGGAAGCTTTGCACGCCTGTGACTTTGGAGGAAGACTCTGCTGATAGAGGTATGATGAGACTGGGGAGGAGGTCCTGAATAGAGGTGATGGAGCTGGGGAGGACCTAGTGCAGGGTAGAGGTGTGATGAGGCTGGGGAGGAGTTAGTGCTAGGAGTGTCTGACATTGTTCATAGAAAAGGCAGCTTGTCCCGCCTCTTCTCCCCCAACACTTGGTATGCAGAATGCTGACTGAAAGAGATGGGCAAATTTTGGTGTACCCTATAGGAGGAAATGGCCCAACGGCCTATCTTGTTCCTATGTAAGTTGTGATATTGTCTACAAACACAGTGCAAGATTTAACCTTTTACTCCAGGGGGCCAGAGACGATTTACTTGCAGAAAATATCAAATGTAGGGATTTAGGGTCATGCATACTACATATAATTGGTCTACTTCCCCCACCCCCCCCCTTTTTTTTTCTGGTAGCCAATGATTTGAAGAGGATTAAACTTGGGAAATTAACATTTACTTTTTTTTCTCCTTGCTGTTTGACCATTAGGAATTTTAGTGGTGGTAAAATTTAGTTTACACAACGCCTCAATTCTAAGATAGGGTAGTTTGAAAGCCACTAACTGGGGAGTTAGCCTCTTTAGCTTCACCTTGGAGGGTGGCTGGTGGTGGTGAAGTTTGGTTTTGGTTTTGATTTGTTCATTTGTAACTTTTAAGGTGTTGCTAGCACTCCATTCTGGTTTTCTGTTTGTAGGTGATCAGGGATGTGGTTAGACTAAGGACACTAAGGACATTCCCAGGAGGAAGTGCATTTCAAAGGTCTATGAAGAATGTGTTTGCCTGGAGAGTAATAGATAATTAACAAGACTTTATGCTGAATATGGAAGGAAAGGCTGGAGAATGTTTAGGTAAAAGTATAAAATTATGTAGGGCATGTAATGTGACACAGAACATAGGGGTTGGCAAATCTTTCCTGTAAAGAACCAGATAAGCTGTACTTTTGGCCTTGAGGCTCATACTTTCCTCTGTCTTTGTAGTGTGAAAACAGCATTAAACAATACCAAACAAATGACCATTGCTGTGTTCCAGTAAAACTTTTTGTATGGACACTTTTTGTATGTATTTTTTGATGGGAGCGGGGGAGCACATGTGAGGAAAGGGAAGAGGGAGAGAGAGGGAGAGAGAGGGAGGGAGAGGGAGGGAGAGGGAGAGAGAGAGGGAGAGAGAGAGAGAGAGAATCTTAAGCAGGCTCCATGCCCATCGTGCAGCCTGACATGGGGCTCGATATCATGACTGGGAGGTCATGACCTGAGCTAAAATCAAGAATCAGACTCTTAACTGACTGATCCACCCAGGTGCCCCTACTTTTCTTTTGATTTTACCCGCAGTCATTTAAAAATGTGAAAACCATTCTTAGCTTTCAGGCCATATAGACAGGTAGCAGACCATAGTTTATTGACCCCTGACATAGAACAATAATGAAGTGTACCCAGTATTTTTCTTTCTTTTTTTTTTTTTAAATTTTTTTTTCAACGTTTATTTATTTTTGGGACAGAGAGAGACAGAGCATGAACGGGGGAGGGGCAGAGAGAGAGGGAGACACAGAATCGGAAACAGGCTCCAGGCTCTGAGCCATCAGCCCAGAGCCTGACGCGGGGCTCGAACTCACGGACCGTGAGATCGTGACCTGGCTGAAGTCGGACGCTTAACCGACTGCGCCACCCAGGCGCCCCCACCCAGTATTTTTCAAGGGAGATTTGGGAAAGAGGGTGAACACAATGCTATGATTTTATTTCCATCGGTCTATGTAATAATCCACAAAATAATAATGAAGGAAGCCTCAATCTTCCCCCACATTTGTTATTATGAGTTGTGAAACTTGGTAGGCTGAGATTTATGAATGTAGTAGGATACAAACACATTCTTTAGTCAAAGAAGTGTCTATTCCTTGTTCAGAATTGAAAGGGATTGTAGTTCAGGAGATGTGGAATAACACTGATTTGTAATGTTGATTTATACCAAGGGATTTCTACC